TGTAGCGACTCTACAATAACGGTTTCAAGTTGTTGCGGTTTTGTACAAACAGCGGACTGTAAATTATGAGCACCTTCGAGCATCCAGGGGTGCATCGGTACACCTGCTACCGGAAAGCTTCGCGCAGAAGTCGAAGATTGATTTGGTAATCGTATCATCTGATTTAAAGGCGTTCAGTAATGGTTGTTCGCGTTAAGAGAGGCGCAGAGCTATCAACCGATCATCATCTTGTTGTTGTCACTCTGCGCTGTAAGAAATGGAGTACCATACAAAGATCTGGCGGCAGAAGCAACCGGAAAATCAAATGGGAAACATACTTTTCGGTGGACACGAGAGCGAAATTTGCGAACAACGTCGCACTGCAGTTTGGAAACCGAGTGGCAGCTCTTTAAGAACGGTATACTCAAGGCGGCCGCCAAATGTTTCGGATTAATACGGGTTGGCTTGCCGCTTGGAGGTCACAAAAGACCTTCCGGGTGAACACGAAAGGTACAACTGGCAGTTAAAGAAAAGAAAGCAAGAAATGGTACAGTAACACAGAGCCATCTACGCGCGTGCGATATTTCGAGGCATTCAAGGCTGCAGAGAAAGCAGTCGCGAAAGCCAGCGCTGATTCCTGGGACAAGTTCGGTGATGCGTTGGGGTCGAATTTCCACACGGCAAACAAGATTCTTTGTCAGACCATCCGCCGACTCCAGGTGAAATTAGGGCAGTCTAAGACTGGACATGACTTAACAGCCTCTTACCAATGGTGATTACATTTTTCGGCGATTGGGAGAGTACTTTGAGGAACTAATTAATCCGGAGCAACCGCAGGAAGACTCTCATGTAAAGCAGCTTGAAGCAGATATTACAATGTATGTGGATGAAATTACACAAATGGTGGAAAGGCTGCTAGAATTGATGAAATCGGCCCTGAAATGCTCAAGGCATTAGGCGAACAAGGCATGCGCTTTCTTACACGTGTCTGTCGATCTGCGATGACTACGGGGAAGACACCAGTGAACTGGAGAAGAGGAATTTTTCTACCCCTATTCAAGAGGAGACCACATGTAGTCCTCCAATTATATGGGCATTGCGTTACTGAACCTCCCTGGTATAGTGAGCGCAAAGGTGCTAGGAAGGAGGTGCCTCGGAATAACTGATTCCAAGATGCAAGAAGAGCCCTGTGTCATCCGGCCTGGTCGCAGTACCTCTGACCATATATTTGACCTGTGCCAAACTGTTCAGAAATCGTGGTTGTACGCCTGTCCGGTGTAATTGTGTTTTGTTGACGTAGAAAATGCCTATGATCAGATCCCACGCTACAGTCTGTGATCATGCCTGCGAGCATACGGAATAGGTGACCAGCTGCTAAGGGTCGTCCAATCACTGTATTCTAATAGCATGTGCTCGTCAAAGTAAACTGTGTTAAGTCGAAACCTTTCAAAGTTGTGACTGGTTTCCGCCAAGGCTGCGTCCTTCCCTCTATCCTGTTTGTGTTGACGTGGACAGAATAGTCAGGAGCAGCCAAGGTGATGAGTGTATCGGTGTAAGAGATGTATGGACGAGGTTGCTGTTTGCAGACAACCTCGTTTTATTGGCATCTTCTGAAACTGCTCTACAGTGCTCCGTACAAAGGTTCGGAGGCGAGTGCGACGTGACTGGCATGCGTGTGGACGGTTTTAAAGCGAAAAGCAAGTGCCTTCTTGTTCTCATGTTCGGTTCTTGCACGCTTTAGATTAAGGTAGAGGCTGTTGAGCAGGTTGAAAAGTTGATGTACCTCTGAGTCGTATTTACTAGTGATGGAAAATTTGAGGAAGAGATCGACCGGTGAATTGCACTAGCCAGTGGCGTTCTGCATGAACTAGCCCGATGCATTGGGACTAAACATAGCTCAGTCGGAAATCTAAGCTCTCGGTGTTCATGTCTATGTTTGTCCGCATGCTTGCCTAAAGTCATGAGTCGTGGACTATGACTGCAAATCTTCGAACCTGGGTGCAAGTTTCTGAAATGGGCTTTCTCAGACGAGTCGCCGGCCTGACGCATCTGGATATTTTCCGGAATACTAACACCCGGGATAGCTTTAGTTTACAGTCTGTGCTTGTCCAGATTAAGAGGTCACAACTGCCATTGTTTGAGCATGTGTTGCGAATGCCTCCAGAAAGGAAGGCTAAGCAGCTGTTTCTTGCGAAACTAAATGGCAGAGGCCCCAGGGTACGGCCAAGATTAACCTGGTGCAAATATATGAAAGTCGCCTATTCCAGACTCGAATGTCTTCTGTCGAGGCCCAGACTGGCACAGTATCTTGAACGTTTGAAGCACTCTGTGATGCGTCTAACTCCGGGACTCAGAGGATAAGCGGCCATGGAAGGTGAAGGTGGAAAGGAAGATATGTGAGTACTGAAGTTCTCAACTGATTGACTGTTCAGTTCCAGGATTTATTGCAAGATGGCTCATCAGCGGAGAGCCGTGATCCTCTGGACAATGTCATTGTAAATTTTTAAGCCTTTGTGACGTACCGATACTTATCATGATACGCGAGTATCATTTCTATTCAAAATGTAGGTTCTTGCTGCACAGTGTGTTTATTGGCGCATGACTTCTGCTAAAGTTCACGGCGACTAGACTAGACCCGTGGCTCCTTATCACCTAGGAGGGGACCACTCACTCCATACTGTATGGCGTAGAGTCTGAGCTTGGATAATTTATGCGCCAGTTGACATGCTCTGGCGTACTAACCTTTGTACTGATATTTAGTGTATAAACAGTCCTTGGAACATCATTCATATTGGACATTATTTCTTTAGCTGATAGATGAAATGGCTTGGCCTTAAAGAGTGCCACTAGGCAATTCAGAGCAGTGGAATGGCTCAGTACGCCATTACATATAGACTTGGAGGACCTAAACACCACTTAATATTTCATTTAGTAAAGATCCATCCGGTCTTGCTAGCTGATTATTTTGGGATTTATAATGAAAATCGCGAATACCACATAGTGCTTGTAGTTACCCTTCGCCCTACTTTGCCCGGCATGTGATCACTTGTTATTCTCTCTCTGTTCTCTAGATGAAAGAGATGCTTAAAAGATTTCCGGAACCCGAATGAAGTGTAGGAAGACATATCTGAAGCACACATTCTGTCGGAAATAAGTTTTTCACTGCAAGAAGTTACAGCAACTGCGAAAAGTCGCTAAAAATCTGAAAGGCATCTGGAATAGGTGAAGTTTGGCAGTAGTAGCTTAAAGCACAATGAGTCTAACATGTGTCTGTCAAACTGCACTCAGTGCTGATGAAGCGTCTCGAGTGGAGAACAGGGGTAATATTATTTATTTACAGAAAGGGAGATCAGAGAGACCAATGTTCTAACTGTCAGGGCATAATCATATTTAGTATTTTTGGGAGAGTATTTGCGCAAGTGTTTGAAAGTATGCCAGCAGATAGTGGAATCCAGTATACAACAAAAGTGTGCGGCTTCAGCAGCAGCCGAAGAACAACTGATACGATATTTGCTCTACAGTAGGTTTGCTAGAAAAACCTGGGATTTGTTTTCAGAATGCGGATCAGCATGGTTAAATCGGAAGTAGCTGTGTTATCGTGATCCCCTTCTCAATGCGCTTTGCATGTTAGTGCGACCAGTCCGAGGTCAACTACGTCGCGATAATATTTACCCGAAGATGGGAAGAAGAGATTGACTGACGAATCGGTGTGGCACTGGAATCGTGAATTGTACCGAATCATAATAACAGAGACGGAAATGAGTTTTCGAATTAAGCCCGCTGTATTCAACTGGCTTTATAATCGCTCTCACCGGTCATGGCCGAAAAGTGGAATCGCTAGTGCAATGGAGACGAGATGAGATTTCTCAGAAGAATCATATGAGTATCACTGATGGTCGAAATCCATAATTCCATGGTTCGAGATCGAGCCGCTACTTCTGAAGATTGATAGTTCGCGTTTCAAACGGTTTTGTCTTGTCTACTGAATTTCCTGAGGAAGGAGTCAAAGACAACTGTTTCTTGCTCCTCGGATTGACAGAAGACCTCGACGAATGCTTGATGTAAGTGCATCAACGATTTCTGTGACCAGCTTGCAGACTTACCTCCTAAGGTCGATTCCTTGATTCAGGATCGACAACAGTGGCATCAACTCTTGAGCGCACGTCCTTCTAAATGCGGCTCGGGCAAATGGATGAATGGACGAACAATTATTCTCCATGGCGTGGACAGCGACCTTAGATTTTTGGTGGCAGGGTTTTGGTTAACCGTCGAAACATAGGTAATCTAATTTTTCTATTTGCGGATTGTAACGAACTGAAGCCATAAGAGGAGCGCAGCAAATAACTTAGCTATAAATCCAGAATGCTCTGGTCATTTTGAAACACCGTGAAATCCCTCTTGTTTCTGAGCCAACGTCCTATTGCCCATTTTTCTATTGATTGCAGCCTAGCACACGGTAGTGGAAATTCTTTACTCGCAGAAATCAACAGTTAGTAAGACAATTTTACACTGCGCTGGCATTCGAACCGTCGTCTCTAAAATGCAAAGTTCGACGAACACTTTTCATTCAAATGCAATCGCCTCACCCTCCCTCATGCCTCGTTATTCACAAAAACGTTTTTCGAAACATATCTGATCGATCATTTACAACGTCAGGTGCGTTGATAAATATGTGAATTATCTCTTTTGTTGTACGTATCACAAATAATTTCGTTTTGTAGGCATCGTGGCAGAACTTTACG